TAGGGTGTTGATCCAGCTGGCCAAGTATTGTGACTCTAGTCTCCTTTTTCTTGTCTCAAGAATAACTGCTTGAAGAAGAAAATTCTCAGCATGGAAAACTCATGCAAAGGAAATGAAGAACAAACACAGAGCACTCTAAAGACCGATGAAGAGCAACCTCCCGTGGAGCAGTATCCTGAAAATCAGTGTTCTGAGGAGGAGCAGTCCTCAGAGGATCTGTCCTCAGAGGAGCAGTCCTCAGAGGAGGAGTTCTTTCCTGAAGAGCTTCTGCCTGAGCTGCTGCCAGAGATGCTGCTGTCAGAAGATCGTCCTCCCCAGGAGTGCCTCTCAGAGAAGAACCTGTTCGAGGACCGTCCTCCCATGGAACAACCTCCCTGTGGGGTGGGCAAACACAAGCTAGAGGAGGGAAGTTTCAAAGAAAGGCTAGCCCTTTTCCGCCCTCGATTTAGAGGAGAAATCCATGGGAGAAATTTAAGTAATGAAGAAATGATACAGGCAGCGGATGAGTTGGAAGAGATGAAGAGAGTACGAAATAAACTGATGATAATGCATTGGAAGGCAAAACGGAGTCGCCCTTACCCTATTTAATGTGTTCCACCTTTCTTTGTTTTGCTTGATAATAATAGCATTGCTACCTGGACTCTCTGTTTGCATCTTCTTACATGCCTTTTCCCTTCTTGGTTGTAATTTTTGTGCAGTTTTATTTCAGGTGTTTGACTTGTAACTGGCACAGGATTGCTCTTTTTTTTTTTCCTAAACCTTCTAAAATCTGAGTCCGATCCATTTGCATGGAAAGATATGCATTATATATGTGAGGTGATAAAAGCAAAGGTATATACATAGCATCCCATTTTTGTAAAAGGAAAACACATTTATATATTAATATTCAAAGAAAAGCTAAAAACTATATATGTAAAGGCTAACATTGGTTATCTGTGTGGTAAAGATAATAGGTGATTTTTATACTTTTTAAATTTTGCTTCATGTAAAGTCTCACTTTTCATGATGAATACATTTTCTTTATGTTGCATAACAAACAATATAATGAAAAAGTGAAGCAATTCTGAAAAACAAAGCTTATTAGTCAGCTCATAAAGACAATGTGATCCTTAATAAATATTTATCAGAACTTAAAAGTTAATCCTATGTTTCTTCTGAATCTCTTTTCTAAGATTTTTTTAACTGTATTTTATGTCTATGGATGTTTTGCCTACATACAGGTACACCAAGTGTATGCCCAGTGCCTATGGAGGTCAGAAGAAGGTGTCAGATCCCCTGGAACTGGATTTATAGATGGTCCTGAGCCACCATATGGATGGGTGGGATTTGAACCCAAGTCCTCTGGAAGAGCAACAAATGCTGTTAACCCTGAGCCATCTCTCTAGCCCCTCTTCTGAATCTCTTAAGCAGAAATACAAATGAGAATTTTTATTATCAGTAGGAAAAACATTTTCCACGTTAAATAATAGGAAGACGCACATTACAGTACTGCTGTGGAACTAAATGAGAAAAGGATCCTTTGAGATCTGTTTGTTTTGTTTTGTTTTGGTAGGTCCTCCCAACCTCTGTAGATTCCTTTGGAGCCAAGAAATTAACACCTAAAGAAATCTCTCTGGTGCTCATCCAAAATTCCTGTGAGATTCCAAGTGAGTTTCACATTCTGTTCATGTTCTTCTGTATTCATATGCATTGCCATACCTACCAGGCACAGCTTCCCATCTTCTAGGTCCTGTTGTTTCCACTGGATCCTATTCTGCTAATATCCTCACGGTGTAATACCTGTTTTGCAATCCCCAGTGAAACACAATTGCAGTGTATTTCTCCCAAATCTATGGAGAACGCCCTTTCCTCCAGCTGTACTATTAAACATACTCAAGTGTATATAGTCACAGTGCTGTTAAGACTTTGATATAGTAAAAGAATGCTCTAATTATTTTTAAATGCTCAGCAGAATGGCCTTTTCCATGATTTTTCTCTTAAAGTGTCTTCTTTCTTCCTAGACTCAAACATGAAGTCATGGAGACCTGGGATAGGAAGCCAAATTTGTAAGATGGACACCATGATGTGTCATTAGAATAGATACTCCCTTTCAATCTATCCAAGATTAACTGCAATTTCAATTGCCTTATCAACCTTAGAGTGGGTTTTTTCCTCAGGGGTTTCTTGCAGAATTGCCTTGTCTATTCAGTTAGCTGGTATAAAGAAAAGAGGAACATAAAAATTAATGTTCGTGTCATAGTAAATGAGGCCTGAAATTCCAACTCTTGGGAAGTTGAGGAGGAGGGTTGCCATAAGATGGAGGCCAGACTGGGCTACACAGTGAGGTCTAGGCCAGCATGAACTACAGAGTGAAACTCTATGTAAAAAAAATCAAAAAAGTCCCCAAACAAAAACCCCAAACAAAAATAGAATAATAATAAAAAAAATCATTAGGCTCAAACTAGGACCTTCCCATCTCCAATAATTCACAGCAACAACATGCACACAAAAGTTGTCAATGTGTAGTAAAACATAAGAATTAATTTCTCCTAACTGTAACATCACATTCATTGGCCAACCATTCTCTATTACCTTCCATACACCATCTCTTAAACTCTTTAAAGTTTAAAAACTGAGCACCACACTGGGTATGGTGTTGCACGCCTTTAATACAGAAGCGCACAAAAGGCAGAGGCAGGCAGATCTCTGTGAGCTCAAGACCATTCTGCTCTGCATAGTGAGTTCTGAACCAATCAGAGCTACACAGTGAGACCTTGCTTCAAAAATGTGAATAACAAACAATAATAAATGATACATGAAAAAGTAGTAAAACATTGGAAACATGTTACATATTTACAAATATATTTTAAAAACAAATACCTCAACTTACCTACTGAAAAATGGTCAAATAAGTTAATCCACATGAGAAGCAAGGCAAATTTTATAGACAAATATGCATACATATATTCTATTTTCCATATACAAAACACTTATACATGATACTGTGTATGTGTATATTACATACATATAAATGTATATTAACAGGCTCTAACTGACACTGCATAAAAGATTCCACATCCTGTATTTCATCCATTGAGATATTTTTCATGAACAGCACAGTAGAGCTGACCCTAGTGGGGGATGTGAACCAGCTAAGAATGTGAGTATGAGAAATCTGGCCCCACCCTTCTTCTGCCATATGGTGGTGGGGAGGGGAAGATGCCTCTTACCACCTGTGGCAGGTGTGAGAGCTCTCCCTGGCCCTCACCAGCTGCAGCACTGGGGAGGGTGGCCCTTGTAAGTCACCTGGATGACACAGAGCTGGCCCTGAAGGTGTAGGAGTGGGAAAGCTGACCCTGAGTGAGTGAAAGCAGAACTGACCCTACTCCTTGCTTATAGCTGTAAGGAATGAACTAGCCAGGGCAGTGCTGGAGAGCTCACCCTAGTGGTAAGGACAAGGGAGAGCTGGCAGTTTGACCAACCCTGTTTCTACCCAGGCCCAGAACCAGGGTTATGAGTTGGTCCACCCCAACCAACATCCACCCCATCTATGATTTGCTGAAGCACGTGAAGGGACCAGTCTTGAAGACCCAAAGCTGCAGGATCTCCACAACACAGCACAACAAATGAATATTCAAGAGAAGCCCCAGTGAGGGCCCAGTATCCACAGGGTAACAAAAGCCAGAGGCCTTGAACCAGACTAGTGACTCTTTGCAATGAACACTCGCAAGTAAAGATGTAGGGACAAAAGGATGCACTGTGTGACTCATTGCTTCCATGACAAGATTGAGTTTTCCTTTTTCTCTCTTAAATTTTATTTTATTTTATCGGGGGTGGGGGAGGTTGCAAGGGCAGAGGGTGGATACAAAGGCACAGGGAAATGAAGGGGAGAGAGATGCATGATGTGAAAGA